ATAGATTAGCTACTCTTTTGACTGATAAAACAATTGGAGACTCAGTTGATAAGTGAGTATTTTTCTCTGTGACTAAGGACAATGTAGACAATGGCATTTTCAAGGTGTTCCCAATCATTAATCATTCCTACACAGTTGAAGGGCAAATAGTTCAGTGCTGACTCTTGATTACTTTCAAAGCACTAATGAAACCACATTAGGAATATTTGAAAATGTGAAAAAAAAAAAAGCTAAAATCAAGTAGTTAGAACTTTGACTATGTGCAGCTATTTGCGGGTAATATCTCTGGGTTATATCTCCTGTCCACAAATCAGTGAAAATTAAGAAGGCAAAATTGTCTTTAGTTTCTTGTTCTCTTCATAACCATAAAACAGAAAAATACCATCTAATTTTCCTCATCTCATTCAGTCATTTCTCTCAGATATTTCAGATTTAAAGGAGGGTTTATAAAATTTGGATGGGAAGAAATGTTCTACATGAGACAATTACTTGCATAGTATGCAGGTAAAGGGACCAAAACATGTTTTCTTGGTTTTAAGAGTTACTTTTGGAAGGTGTGTGAGCGTTGTCAGGTGTCAATTTATGATCCCATTTTCAAAGCTAACCTCAAAAGAAACGATACAGAGGTTTTCAGTGACACAATGCCACTTACAATTTCCAGATGATAACTGGAAAGTAGATGTCTTGCAATTAGAACAATCTTTCTCTTTGCATGATGAAATGTATAACATAATGCATTAATTTAAGGTTAATTTGCATAAAAGTGCAGAGGAGAAATTCTTTGGTCATAAGTAGCTACCCAACACTGGGGAGTAATAAAGAAAAAAAAAAGGACATTTCACAGAACGATACGCTGTATCTGCCTGAAATTAGGCGTTTTATTTTCATAGTATCAAACAATATACAAATAAACTGATTTAGTTTTACTAAAATCAGGGAAATACTACTCTTTCCAGAAAGAGCAAAAAATATTAGTAATCTACTACTTTTTAAAAGGTCTAATGATGTGTGGTTATAGATTCAGCTGAGTATTTGTATTTGTCACCAGTCTTCATCTAGGAAACATGTTCATATTTTTTGAAATTTCCTAAAATTATTTACTTTTTAATAAAAAATGTCCCTATGTAATCAGATTTGAACAGATTGTAGAATCCTGAAAGAGTTTTCACTTCAGTGAAGTTTTTTAGGAGTGGGGAATTTGGCATGTAGCATGGTTCAATAATTGACTCTTAAAACCAAACAAAATTAAATCTATTATAACTGATAATAAATTATACTTCCATCAATCCTTTAGATTTATAATGAATTTCCTATCATTAAAATTTAATATTATCTCAGAAGTATGTCTATGTACTAAAGGAAATAAGATTTCCCTAGAATTTCTCTTGGTGTTAGCATGTAAACCTATTTCTCCTGTTAGGATTGTCCCTTCTTCTCAAGGAGAATGCCTTTTCAAAGTTTGGCTGCTCTGGAGTTGAACTTCATTTAATGCATCCAGGCACTGTAATGATGAATATGTGGTAAAAGTAGGAAAATCTTGATTCTGTTTAGTTAGCATGGCAAGCCAGGTGCCATTAAGACAAGTAAACTTGGTGATAGAACACTTTATTGTACATGACCTCAGTATTTTTCACATAGAACGTATTTTACTTTTTTTTTTGCTGCTGGGAAGAAATCTTCAAAATTTTGCTGGTTTTCTCTTCTTCCTGTGCTCATTGCAGTAGTCAATAGTTGCTGCAAAAAAAAAAAGGGGGGGAAAAAGGAGAATTGTAAGGTTATTAACAAAATTACCGGTGCAGTGGTAGAATAGAACATAAAGAATATGGTTAGAGTTCTAGGATGTTGTTTCATGTGAGGCATCACATCACTGAAACCTGATGTCCTGCCTGAATTAACTGCAATCACTACGTTTTGTAAAGATCTAAAATGGCAGGTATTAGCTAGCAAATGAGGAGTATTACTTTCTTATATCTTATCATATTGACCTGTCTGTGAAACCAACATAGAAACCTTTCTTCTGGCAGTTTCTTGTTGGATGCTGTGGACTGCAGATCTCTGTACCAGCTCTGTGCAAAACAGCACATGGAAGCTGTTGACTTTATTGGGAATGGAGTATCTGTTGTCAGTGAAGACAGAGGTTATTTTCTGAAATATGCATAGATTTAGAACCATTAGAAGTGGAGAACTGAGTGCCAGTTTTACAAGTGACTTCTGTTCCTTCATGGTACAGTGACTATTTAAATATCATACCTCACTATTTGCTTGGTTAAAGACTGAAGAATTTCCAGAGATTAATGTAAGGGATTTACTGATATAAAATTCACTTCTAAAAGGGGTTAATGGTGAGAATCTCAATTCAGATATTAAACAGAAATATGTGTTTCTTTTTACTGGGAAAATTTTAGTTTCGTAATTTGTACATTCTATCTGGGCAATGTAAATACTTTAAAAAAAAAATAGGGTTAAAGTGTTTAAAAAGTCAATACAACTTCAAACAACTTTAATGACTTTTCTTTTAAAAATGCTCCTTTGTTTTTTTATCATCCCAGTTTGCCAACAGAAAAATGCAGATATTTTTCAGAACTAATTAACTCAGAAGATCTGGGAACCATTTAATTTGAGTTGAAATTTTTTTATTAAGGCAAATGGAGCGGCCCATTGTACAGGTATTTTGAATGATGATCATTGGTGGCACATTCTACTTGCAGTAATAAATAATGAAGATGCAAAACAGGAGTTGGGCAGTGGTGTTAGAGTGACCCTGCTTCCTGGCTAATGTAATTCACTTAGCCAGAGTAGCTTACTGGAATAGAAACCACAATGTTACATTTATACTGCTCCTGGGGCCCACTTTGCTCAGATCTAGCTGCAGTACCTTCTCAGGGTAATGTATTAAAGAGCTCAGGGTCTTTCCTTTCTTTTGGCAGAGTAAAAATCCTGAATATCTTAAATCCTAAAAATCATTAAATATGCATGATATACTAGAAAATAACTATGGCTACTCCTAAATTTAGTCAAAATGAAGCATTCATATAAAATTAGCTCAAATTTGAATATCATGCAAAAACTTGTCCTGTGAAAAGACAGCACTGTCATTAGCCAGCTGTATACAAATGGTCTCTGCTTCTATAAATACAGATTCTCACATGTGGGCTAGGAAAAGCAACTCTACTCACTCAGCATATGGAGAAACCCATAGACATGTCTGGCATATTCCTCTCTACAGAAGCTGAATGTGCCAAACACTTCTCACTAGACTTTCAAAGGCTAAAATGCAATTGACTTAAAGAAAGAAGATCAGTGCTCTGGCATCTAAAACCTGGTGCATTAAGTGTGTTCTTTCTGAGTATCAGAAGTACACTGTGTGCATTATATTACATCTTTCAGATCTGTGGGGATGTCATCCATATGAAAGAAAAGGCTCTTCAGATTCAAATCTGTCATCTTCCCTGTGAAAATAAAGATAATAATACAATGGGAAAGAGTAGTGAGATAAACTATGAAGGAAAATGGTCCTTAATGCCTTTGGTTGCTAGGCTTTAATTCCTGAGGTGATCTACTACCTGGTGCTTGGATACATTCTAGCACCATCTATGCACCTTTTGATCATTTACCATTAGAGATGAGATGTCCAGAGTGTGTTTTGGACTTGGATTATGCCAGTGAATTAGGTTTCCTTGTGTTATAACATCAGCTTTGAAGGGATAGCCTGCCAAAAATGTAATAGCACAGGAGAAACAGGTGTATCTTAGCAAAAGCACTCTCCTCAATTCAGACTGCAAGCTCTACTAGCTGTCTAAAGAAGAAAAAACCCAATACTATTGTATTAAAACAATGGACAGAAAGAAAATAAATAAAAGAAAATTCAGAATTGTCAAAGACAAACCAGACTTTACACATAGCCCTAATTATCTTTGTTCAGATACACCAGGAGTGCATCTTCCAGGGGTCCTAAAGAGATGTTTTCCTTTGGATTATTCCCAAGCCCTGTATTAGTCTCTGTTCTGAGCATACACTTTGTGCCACATCAGCAAACGTCATCCCTGTCACAGCCAGCCCTGTGAAATTGGGAGGGTATTGCATGACAGACTCAGATGGCTGTTTCCCTGAGGTTCAAAAATAGAGCAGTCTATTTTTCATTTTTCAGTCTGTGAAAAGAGGAAGAGGAACACAAGCAAATGAAGCATGACCTTTTGCAGCCTCTGGTGGCTTGAATTCAAATACAGAATTAAAATACAATTTCTTCCATGGGGTCTTAAATGCATAAACCAGTGTGTTTATATGTTCACCTATATAATTTTGTCTGTCTGTGTGTACTTTAACATCTTCATTTATATGTACTATGATGGCTTACCTACAGAAACAGAGTAGTGAAACATGGAGTAACCAGAAGGAAAAATTTCATGTAAATTAAGGTACTAGCATATTCAGGAATGAGTGTTCAGCTCTTAGCATCAGGGATACATGAGATGTCTGTAAAGGAGCACTAACCTGCCTTTTCATTCTGCTGCAGTGTGGCCTGAGAAAGAGTGGCTGAACAATTGCTAGCAAATGGGAAAAATAATTTATTGAATTTACACAACCTCTTCCCTAAAAAGCATTGCTATAATCTGGGAAATCTACCATTCTCTAGCTTATGTGTGTTCTGTTCATGTTTCATGTTTCTTACTGGTCCTATGACAAAGAAGTCTGTGTAAATTATACCTTCTAGCTCTGACTTTTCAGAGACAATGAAAGAGAATGTGCTAATGCTGAAATTGTTATGGCACAGGACCAATGGAAGTGAGATGCTTGGCAAGTTTCATTAAGCAGCTAGACATAAAAATAAAAGGGTGAAAAAAAAAAAATTGGAAAAAAAATCCTAAGGCAGTAGAAAAGGAAAACATAGTTCCACTGGCCAGAGCATACCCTACACCAGAACAGACCTAATCAAACACCAAATGTGAAATGTGATTCTTCAAAGAACTGATTTCAATTGATGTATCATGTTTTCTTTGCAGGAATATCAAATTGATATATTTTTTGCCCAGACATGGACAGACAGCCGTCTTCGCTTCAACAGCACCATGAAAATACTGACTCTGAACAGCAACATGGTTGGCTTGATCTGGATCCCAGACACAATATTTCGTAACTCAAAGACAGCAGAGGCACACTGGATCACCACCCCCAACCAGCTCCTCCGCATATGGAATGATGGCAAGATCTTGTACACCCTCAGGTGAGCACTTGGCAAGGTGCAGGGCTGAAGGCTTCTCCCACCTCTGGTGTAGTAATAGTAATTTTCAGCGATGTCTTTGCTTTTCTCTGCTGTTTTCTTCCTGATGTGTACTTGGCCATGCTTTACAAATATTTAGCTGTTCAGGCATAAGTACTGCCAAGTTTAAAAAACAAAGTCTTGTCTTTCTAAGAAAGAAACCTTAAGAAACAGGAAATAAGTCTGTCTAAATTGTACAAGCTGGGCTTTTTAGTGCTTGTAATAAAATTGGGAATATGTAGTCCCATAAAACCTGTTAAAAGCCTTTTCGATCGGAGCTAGATGCAGGGCTGGATAAAGCGTTTTTAGATTCATGTTAATGCCAATACTCTATTCTTCAAATAAGTCATGCTGAAAGATAGTCTGTCACATCTCCTCACAAGAGCGAATTGCTGGAGGAAAGGCTTTTACAGTTTTCTAATCTTTGTGATAAAATCAACTATATGGTATTAGAAATACTGTATATATTTGCATTTTAAAAAGCCTGTGGAAATCAAAGTATGTGTTTACTTGTGGAAGAGATGAGTTGTTCAGAAGGGAGTTTTGCCATAAGCCATGTTCCACAAGTTTCGGAGACGTGCCTTTCACGCTATATTTCCTTCTTAGTGCAACTTAGAGGGCTGATTGTGCTTGCAACTGCTGTTGGGCTCCAGTACAAAGTCTTTGGCAAACAATAAGAAAGGAAATAAACGTCTGGAAAAGCTGTTGATATTTTTAGTGCCCTTTCCCTCTTAGGCTTTCTCTACTGTGAAGAGCTCTTGCGTATTTCAGTTGCCTTTAGCTAAAGAGTTTGAGGATTAAGGTGTCATCTTCAATATTCTCTTGCTTGGGTTGGGCTTTTTTTCTGAGGAGATTTTGATGGTTTTTTTGTTTTTTCTCTATTAAGTTCTGTTTCAGTATCTCAGGTTGGGTATCTACCCAAAAGTATTTAGACTTGTACACCTCTTACTAAAGAAGCTATTTGTTGAAGGGACTACAAAATTTGTCTAAACCAGCTAAAAGTAAGTTATTACTTGACCCATTGGAATGAGCATTTTTAGTAGGTGAAAGATGTTTTGAGTCCTTTTTGGTCACTCAGGTCATCCTCCTTTTCACACAGGAAAAGCTGCTAGAATGATCATTGTTAATGCTTTGGAATTCAAACCCAATTATCTGACCTGTGTACCAGAACTGGTATGACATGGCAGAGGTAGCTAGTGTGTGCCCTGGTGCTGTCAGGTGCTGATGGGTATTATGTGTACAGGAGAAAGCACACAAGGTTCAGTGTGCTTTCACCTCTCCATCTTCTTCTCTGCCCCTTTCAAGGTGTGAATGCCCTCCTGCTGCAACACTGCAAATCTTCTTCTAGTGTCAGTGCAATAAGGCTATTAAGTACCTCACAGGTGACCTCTTGCAAGAAAGAGTTTTTCTCCGTGCCATCCTATATCTGAGACACAAACCTTTTTCCACAGAGTTTTTAATCTTTTTATTTAGTTTCCAAAAAGAAAAACCCACATAGCCCACATGCATGAGTTCTGTCATGAAACTAAGTAGTATTTTTTTAAACAGACTGTACAATAAACTAGCTCTTAATTCAATTTTCCTTGAGTAAGTACATTCACTTTGTAAGCTATTAGACTGAAGATTATTGATTTTTGTTAACAATTTTTAAATTGACTGTGTTCATAGTATACTTTGTGTTAGGGGTGTCATGTAAAACCAGCTTTCAAGTAGGGATGAAGATGTTTCTGCTGATCTCTTTGTTCCATCTGTGAGATACAGAGTGGCATATAGAGATTTATTAAGTTTTGGAGAGATAGCCTGAAGAAATTGAAATAATTTTAAGTACACACTATAAGTACACATGGAGAATATTTTTATAAGTTTCACTCTGAAGTTCTAATTTTGTGGAATTACATACCACATGAGCCATATTTCCTGTTATTTTTATAAAGAATAGTTGCTTTCATCCCAGAACCTTCAACGATGAATTTTCTAGAGAAACACTTATGCACAGATTTCCTGGGATCCAGAAAGTCTTGATGACGTGTCTGAAATTATTTAAGATAATTATAATTGTTTTGTATCAGGCTTAAATAGCCAATGAACAATTTACAAATATGTAAGGTTCTTTCCTTTCAGGCCTTATGGATATCAGAGCATTCTTTCATGATGCTTTAGGTTACCCTGCTTCCTCCTCTGGCTGCTCCCTGTGCTGGCACATGGTAACAGACCCTTGGTTTCTTCACAGGCTTACCATCAACGCAGAGTGCCAGCTGCAGCTACACAACTTCCCCATGGATGAACACTCATGTCCTCTGATATTCTCCAGCTGTAAGTGCTGCTTTGATGCCTTATTCTTGTATCTGACTCATATGCAGGGGTGTGAGTTTAATTCTGACTTCAGTCAGGTTGGTCAGTTGTTCCATAACTGGTATAAGAAGTTTAGGTTTGCTCAAACACTTAGGGAACTTTTGTTTTCCTCTCTTGTGCTCCTGATCAGTGGACTCAAGACATGAAGTCTCCCGCAGATTTACTCTGTTATTTTTGCTAGAACCTGCCTTTTTATCTGATACTACAGACACAAACTCAGCAGATACTCATACCAGTCTGTGCAATGTTAATTCATACAATCACTTGGCACTGCAAATGAGAGTTGAAACTTCGGTTTCCTGGTGGAAGTGCACAGCATGAGGACATGCCCAGTAACCTCTGAACATCTGAGTAATACCAGCACGTAGCCTGGTAATGCCTCTCTGCTTCATAGTAAAAGTAAATGGTGCAGCTACTGTAAATCTCATTTTCCTTTTATTGCTCAGCTTGTCCAGAAGTCCCAATGTTGTGTTGTATGTTGTTTTGCTGGCATATTTAAAACCGTCCTAACAGACAAAAAAATACATGGGGAAATGCATGAAAAAAAAATCAGGTGAGTTAATTTTGAGGTTCAATATTACGATAAGAAGTTATCTTAATGTGGATTCATTTGAAAAAGCTTGAGAGCTGTCAGCTCAGGAGAACACCTGCACAGTTTTGTAATCCAAAGCTACACAATGAAAAGGTTTTAAAAACATTTTTAAAAGGAGCTCCACTGAAGGTTTTAATCTTGACAATCTTTAAGACTCAGGATACATGTTCTTCAGAAAGTGAAAGGAAAATGTGTTGTTTTGTCTCTCTATTTAGAAACAAGATTATCTCCCTAATCCCTTTTAAAGTGAGAGAAGAATAACACTATTGACTATTTTCATAATAAATATTTATTGTGCATATGCATCGTTATTGATTTCTATTTTAAGTACAGTATGAACAGTGATACACAATCACAAAACAGATTTGAATTTCTGACTCAGAGTGTATTTTTCTTTTTACCCAAGAAAAAAAAATTAAAAACCTATCATGCAAATGTCTCCCTTTCCTCCAAAATTCTATCACTATGTTGCCATTCTTTATTTTTTATATGTAAAAGTGAACCTGGCCAGAAATATACAATTGTGTGTTTAATTTGGGTGTGTGTAATATGCATATTCAACTGACTAAGAGGCAAATAGCTCCTGAAGGAGCTTTCCATCTAATGAACACTGGTCACTGAACTCTATGCACCTCAGCTATCTTTAGTTACTACATAAAACTGCTTTTGTGGCAATCTGCTGTTGTTTTGTCGAAGTGCTGGGAAATGTTTTTGATTTTAAAAATCAAATTACAGAGATTTATGGAAACCTACTAAAAGTTTCAAGTCCAAAGATAATAAATAAAGCTACCACATAAATTTGATTGATCCTGTGATAGCAATATCCAAAGAAAGTGAACTCTAATAAACAGGAAGTCACTTCAAACCTTGCATTCCCTAATAGCTAGACAGTTGCTAAATGCAAGTAAATTATGCTCTATGGTTTTTATTGAAAGGAGAGGATATCATCAGTACTTCAGCAGGCTCTGCTCCATGGCAAAGTTCCAAATACATTTTGTATTGCAAATGTTCCTCCTAATTTGATCTATTAGCTCAGAACACTTCTCACCTTGCAATGTAAGTGCGTTGCCATCAGACATGTACTACTGTCTGTGGAGATTACATAGGCTAAAGCAGAATGTGAATGTGTTGCAGTTTCTATGTGAGTTCCTTGTAGTTTCTTGCCAGATGGAGGATCCTGTAGAGGAATGTTAAAATAATGTTTTATAGTTTTGACAACATTTTTGGTCACGTTGATAACATGAGTTTATTTCTTCAGATTCATGCTGAATTACATTTTTTTTTCCTTGAATAATTTTAGCACTGGTATTACCATCATACAGGACATCTCCTATATGATTAATTTGTTACATAACTCACTTGTATTTTCAGTCTTGTGTACATTCATAGCAGTCTAGCTAGATGGCACTCAGTGGGACTCATGAAGTGAATGACTGAGCGAATGCCTGAATGATTTATTACTGCCTTCTCTGACAAGTTTCTGAAGGGACAAGCTGATTAGGGATGCCAAGATGTATGTTTTTGAATAAAATAAAAACCTTTGTAGAATTCAGAGCGCACCTCTGCTTCCCCCTTCATCCCTCCTGTTTGTTCCTCAGCACATAGACAAATCTTTGTAGTTTCCACTATAGGCAGGCACAAAGAAGCTCAGGTTTCAGGAAATATTCCCCACACCTCTACACACAGGTGAAGTTTAATATTTGAAATCTCTGACTTTTTATATAAATTTCTCTTGACATTTCAGAACTTTGAAACTCATCTTAAATTTTGTCTAGAATATTTACCTCTAGTGCCAGCTAATTTGCATCCTAACCCTCTTCTTACTCTGGGGACAGCTGATGATCTCTCTCAGTGGGAATACTGAGCTCCACTTCATCTGGTTGCCAGCATGAATAAGGAGAAAACAACGGCTTATGGAAAGCACCCATCTCAATGTGTTAACAGTAGTTACCAAAACATACCTACCCTTCCTGTGGAAAATTGTTGCTCAAGAACAAGTTCCCGGAGCTCTCTAGTTTCTTTTATAGGACTTAAAAATATTTTAATAATCTGAAGCTCATTAACCTGTGCAGGTTTTGTATGTGAGGTGACATGATGGACTCATCTGGCATGCCAGGCCTTGTGGTCAGTGTGTGCCTGTAGCTGCTGCTCTTGTGTAGCTGTGCACTCAGCACAGTGCCCATGTGAAAAGTTGATCCCAGGAACATCATGCAGGGCTGCTGTGCCATGTGGCAGCTTGTGTCTGTTCCATGCACCAGATTGGTTTGATCAACCACATGTGCCAAGCAGGATTTCTCACTAACGAGCTACAACAAGGCATGGTACGAACGTGCATTTCCCTGGAAAAGTGAAGAAAGAATCAATGCTGTGACTTGATTGCAAGTGGAGCAATCTTGGATAGATTTTGGTCAATAAGAATCACTCTTTCTTCATGTGGTTTTAAAGTACTATATGCAGCAATGTAAAAATATTCTGCTACTGTCGTTCTTCATTTGAGTTAATTTATCCTCCTGAGCCAAGGGAGGCTGCTGTGCTTCTTTGGCACTCAAATAGCACATTAAACTGTCTTGGTTATCTCTATTCAGCATTGATTTGAGCATTTTGGAAGTACTCTCAGGATGCTGCCATAAAATTCTGTTTATTGAGGTAGTTAGGGTTCACATAAACTTCAGGAAGGAAGAGGAGGTGTTCTGTCTGAAGGATGATGTCAGTACAAGAACAAATAAATAAGACACGCAAGAAAACGCAGACTGGGAATGAAAAGGTAAGCAATTAATTGTGAAACTCCTTCTATAGGGAACTGTGGGTGCTCAAATATTATAATAACTCAAAAGTGTTTGAACAAAGCAAGCAACAATGCATTGGGAGCTGTGAAGCATAACAAGATCACTTGGTGGTAATGGCCACTACTTTTTTTATTGTGAGGGATAAGAGCATTATAGATTAAGGAGCAGGAAAAAGAGGCTGTATGGCTAAGTTACTTGAAAGTACTCTTCAGCATTAGAGTTATCATGTGACTGTTTTTTAGCTCGCTTGCACAGTTTTACTTTTCCTTTCTCAGTCACTGCTGAGGCCGTTGAATGTTCTGGATTTTCTTAATTTGGGAGGACTAGGAGTGCTGCAAAATAATGTGAGAACATTTGCACTCAAAACTGTGTAACAGTTAATTGTTTGAGGTCTTCATTTTTTTCAGATGAGCAGAAACTTTCACCTCCTCTCCCCATACGCATGCTCAAGGTTAACTTGAAACTCCTTCAGGTGACAGCATATGAAAGCCATGCCAAAATGAAGCTGACAAGCCCTTTACTCCTTGTTTTCAGCATCTGGTCAACTAACTTTTTAATTATGTCCAAGGAGGTTTATGGTGGGAATCTGCGCTAGCTGCATACTTGAGGTCTGAAACAATCTGTAAGGCCATGCCTGGGGCTTTACCAGATGCAGAAATACTCAGCTGCAGTGCAAGAGGCCAGGAAAAAAAAAAGAAAAAGAAAAAAGACTGAATTGATTAATGGATTTTCACAGGTTTATTTTCCTTGCTGCTGTTCTGATCAAACTGCAGATACAGTTGTTCATTTTAAAAAGCACCTTTGACTTTGACAACAGGAATTATGGCACATTCGGTAGGCAATTAATGATCTTCTCCCTAGTCATAAGGTCAAATGTCCTGAGCTGCCCATTATAGGAGGATTGCTGCAAGACAGGAAAAGGTTGGCATGTCCAGAATGCCATTCTTATTGCAAACACCAAAATACATATCCAAAGGTTCACAAAGAATTCAGTTACTTCTAGTTCAGTTTAAAATAGAAGAAAGCAAGATTTCCAATGACTGATGGTCTAGTTTGTTCAGCCAGGACTTAAACCAAATATTTTTTGCCTTTAAATGTTAGAGTTGTTTTGGGTTTTTTTTAAAGTGACATACAAAAACATGCCAAGTATTGCAGGAAAAAAAAAAAAAAAAAAAAGGAAGGAAATGTGCAATGCTTTTAAAAGAAATTAATCCAAATCTAGCATAGTGCTTGAAAGGAACAGATCCCATTTTTCTAAATACAGACTCAGTTCAATCAAATGTTCCCCCTTTGAACATGAAACCTCTTACGGATATGCAATCAGTACTTTGAGCCTTGTATCATTAATTTCTAACACAACTAGCTGTCATTGCCCATTTTAATATGCTTCTCCTAGCCTAGAAAAGCAAATGCTGGTTTTGTGGAATGGACTGTGCTTTGTTTCATCTCCTTTGTCATCAGCAGAGTCATTAATACAGTCTGAGGGCAGAAATTTACTTCTGATGAAGAACAGGCCAGAAGAAGCACAGCTTAATGTTCATGTCTCAAGAGGAGTTTCATTAAAGATGCTGGGAAGGCATTCT